CTGCGTAAATCTTCCGCGCGAAGAGGCCAGGTTTCACAGCCATACAGCAGAACGGGTCGTATGGAAGCTTGGTAGATCCGAATTTTAGTCCTGAGACTGATTTCTCTCTTGCTCCATAGAACGCTCCTCAGCTGTAGAAACGCATTCCGGGCGTTGGAGATTCGCGCATTCACTTCGTTTTTCGCTTGGCCGTTGGGGAGCATTATGGATCCCAGATATCTGAAGGATGGCACAATTTCAATAGGTGCTCCATTTAAGGATAAGATTTCATCATTGCCGGTGGATGTGTTCGAAAACATTTTGGTTTTGGAAGTGTTAATTTTCAAACCGATAGTAGACGCGAGGTGGTTTATCTGGTCGAGCGCCTGTTGCATATCGGGGAAGTTTTCAGCTAACAGCACGACGTCGTCGGCGAATTCGAGGTCGGTTATGTGAATATCGGGCGAAAGTTGGACGCCGTGGTGCTCGGTTAGGGCGTGCCGCAAAATCCAATCAACTGTGAAATTGAACAGGATGGGGGATGCTGGACAACCTTGCCGGACACCGCTGGTTACCTCAAAAGTGCGGGACTCTTCACCGTTCACTCGGACTCGAGCTTTGGTGTTGGAGTAGTATGACCTGAGCAGGTTGATTAGCTTGGTCGGAACTCCGTCGAGCTCCATTAGATACCAGAGTGCTCCTCGATCAACTGAGTCGAATGCCGCTTGGAAGTCGATGAAGCAGGCAACCGTCGGCTGTTGGAATTTGTCCCTGTGTTCCAAAATTCTTCGCAGTGTGAATAATTGATCAACACAGCCTCTTCCAGGTCGAAATCCGGCTTGATTTGGCCTTGTTCGCACGTGGCGTTCGGCCGCGAAGCGGTTCAGGAGAATGGAAACAAAAACCTTAGCAGCGATATCAATCAGACTTATGCCTCGGTAGTTCTCGCATATTGACCTGTCTCCCTTTTTGTGGAACGGTAGCAGAACTGAGGTGCTCCAATCGGAAGGAATGGTTTCGGACTCCCAAATTGAGCAGAACAGCGAGTGCAGTGCATCGATTAGCGCTGGAGTGCAGGCCTTGTATATTTCTGGGGGTAGACCATCTTCGCCCGGAGCTTTTTTGTTTCTGAGTGTGTTAATTGTTTTAGCTATTTCGGTTGGAGTGGGTGGATCGCAGTCAACTACGTAGGGTGTTGGTAAGTGTCGTATCGGTCGATGAGACGGTTGACCAGCGTCGCGATTGAGTAGCTGCTTGAAGTATTCGGCCCATCGTTCCATCTTACCATTGGTGTCCGAAATAATTTCTCCTGATGCTGTGCGTAACACAGCATGACTGTTAAGGCGTTTGCCAGATGATTGGCGTAAGAGGCGATAAAGTTTTCCGAAATCGCCTACATTTGTTGCTGCTTCCATGTTAGTCGCCACGTTAGACCAATAGCGATTTCTGTCGTTCCTAGCAGACTGTGTAGCTTTGCGCCTGAGGGAGCGATAAACTGGAGACTTTGCTAGGCGAGCGTCTCTGGCTTGCGAGGATAGAAGCATGGTGTGCTCTGAAATCCAGTCTTTCTGCTTCTTGGATGTGGTACCCAAATGCGTCATTGAAGCTTTAGAGACTACTTCTTTGAAATGATTCCATCGTGTCTCGGGTGTATTAGAAGATGTGGATGTTGGTTCATCTGCGGTGCTTAGTTCGGCCTGGATTTGTTTGGACAAGGCTTGTCGTCTTGTAGAACATTGAAGCGGGGCAACATTGATACGCTTCGGAGGTCGCGTCTTCTGGCGTGTCGTTAAACGAAGTTTGAATTTCGCCCTAACTAGAGTATGGTCTGATCCCCCTTTATTTCCGGCCTCTGCTCCACGATAGGATCGACAGTCTTCCACCGAGGAGATCCAGCGTGAGCGCACTAGGATGTAGTCGATCTGATGTGCAGTGCGACCGTCGTTCGAATACCAGGTGAGAAGATGTTTTCTGGGGTGTTGAAATCGAGTGTTGGTGATATATAATCGATTGTAATCAGAAAAAGATAAAAGTCTATCACCATTACGGCAGCGCTGATCGAGACCGTGTTTGCCTAGTATATGTTTTGTCGCGTCGTCTGAAGGGCCAGTGCGGGCGTTCCAATCGCCGGCTACTATGAGAACGTCACGCTTTGGGATTTTGTTGATTGCCCTCCTTGTAGCACAAAATCAAGAGAAGAAAGTAGAAGAAATGCTTGATAGAGACAGTAGACAGGGTTAAGAGACATAAGGAATAGTAATAACGAAGAACAATATAGTTTCATCGTAAATTATAAATCACAAGGAGTGGATGCATCCGCGCTAGCCAGCCTTTGAAACGATGAGTTTGAGCAATATCACCGATTTTCGCTAGCCTTCATTGGTTTTTCCCGCCCTGAGGACCCCAATCAGTCAGGAAGTCTACACTTCCCTCCCTACATGACTGGATAGCTTAAACTAACTGTTGTGGATTTCATTGACTAATGCATGTTTTTGGTTTGATCGTCGCTAGGTGTTTTCCAGCCTGATCTATACTATGTCAGCTAACACTGCCCGTTGAGGAAGGCGATGAATAGACAGGCATGCGTAACACATATCCTAACCATCTCAGTCGATGTGGCTTCACAGCCTCGTGGATTAATTTTCCCTCTTTACCTAGCACTCGACGCCTAACCTCAATATTGCTCACCTTATTATACCACCACCGAACACGGGATAGAACGCAGGCACTTATGATCAAAGACAGCTAGCCGGCTTTTCATGTCTTCCACTCTCAATGGCCATGTATCACTCACAGTCATAAAGGAGGACGGAGCGAACTTCTGAGCAGTACACATGTCCTTTGGTAGCTAGTCGGATATCACGTCTACTAAGCCAGAGACGGCGTAAAACCGGCATATGCCAAACTAGCCCTCTGTATAGGTGCTGAGATTTCGTCAGAGATCAACCCGTTGGGGCTGATGTACTTCCCAAGTAAGTAAGCGGTCAACGTGCTCTACCACTTCACTTTCTATTTCTAAACTAGGAGTCGATGTAGTCCAGTCCCGTAACATAATCTTGCATTTGGCGGGAGCGAATCGTATGCCGAACATTCGAAGATTGCAGCTCTGCATTTGTCAGCGTCCTCGCCTAGAAAGACTATTACTCATCTGCATATTCTAAGTCAACGAGATTATTCCCTGATGGTAGCAAGTCAATCCCTATGTCTCTGAAGTGAGTTAGGGTTAATTCTCATCCCCTCGTAATCAGAAGGAAAAACTACTCTAAAGTGCATCAGTGGTTCAATGGTAGAGTGCTAACACACCAGCAACGCGCGAGATCCATATTCGATTCCTTGACATAGTACTCTTAAACCTTTCGCCTAGTTTAGAGTAACCGATAGTAAGGCGCAAAATATAGGGAAGGTTCAATATGAAGCCAGCAGTCCCATCCACTAAAAAAAAATACCGTTGCTACTCTAAAACTTCAAATGCTCGAAGTCTTGTGTCCAATATCCAGAACGCAAAGAATGAACATAAAGAAGGGAAATTACCACAAAAGAAGTGTGAATTTCAGTAGACGTCAACAATTAGAATAAGAATAACGAGGAAATTATATTTGCAGGTATTGGTTTCTACGGATTTTGTTTGATTGGTTGGAGGGTTTCATCATCGATAAAGACATTGCAAAGCGGTTGCGCTATGTCGTGTATGAATTGACAGAAGTTAGAATTCATGCACTGCCATTGAATCGGGTCCCAGTGGCTTGTCTCTCTGTCTGTCTGTCTGTTTTCGACATAGAACTTTGCACAAATGTGCGCCAGTTCAAGTCGCCACATTCCGTGTAGCACGCGAAGCAAGAGAAGAAAGTACAAGAAAAGCATAATAGAAACAGTGAGCAGAGGTGTGAGACAAAGGAGTAATAAAGAAATACAAAACAGTTTCATTGAAGATCATAAGTCACAGGGAGTGGATGCATCTGCGCTAGCCACTGAGAACGATTTTGAGCCATGTCACCAATTGTTTCCAACCATAGATTTTTACAGTCCCGAGGACCCCAGCCTGGAAGTCTACACCTTCCTAAGTGGCTTAGACCGACTGTTGTGGATTTCATTGACTGATGCCAAGTTTTTGTTTGACCGCCGCTAGCTTTTTTCCAGCCTGACCCTATATCCGCTAACATTGCTCTTCGGTCGAGGGAGGCGATGACTTGGCATACGTAACACATGTCCTAACCATCTCAGTCTTTGTAACTTCACGACTTCGTCGATAGATTTCCCCCTGTTACCTAGAACTCTGCGCCTAACCTCCATGTTGCTCACCTTATTATGCCACTTTACACGGGAAATAGAACGCAGGCACCTATGATCAAAGACAGCTAGTCCGACCGAAAGCTGCTACCTTGACGGTGGTCGGGCTTGAACACCGCAATGACCTAATCAAGCTATACTGGCTGAGACTTATGTCTCTTGAGGTACTACCATGCCAGGCAGGTTGTTTGGATAGCGGTTAAACAAAAAGCAGCTACCCAATCCAACATCATGTCCAATACAAAATCACAAAATTTCATGCCGGATCGGCCGTGGCCCGGATTAACAACGACCGCGCTTCCTGCTGCCGTCTCACAGGGGAGGAGTGATAAATATGCTACTGAGGCACACCAAACAAAAAAGAACAAACAAAAACCCAGTGGCTTAATGGCCTACGAGCTTGCTAGCCCTGTAACTAGAAGGTTCTGGTTCGAACCCCAGCGGGGTGGGTGCGTACCACTGACGAGTCTCAAACTAGGATGGAGGAAACAGCTGTTTGGCAGTACTCTCTGCAGTTTACCAATGGTTCTCTGACCGGTGTCAGCTCATGATGAAATCCTCCAATCATAAATTATATCTAGTTGATTATTACTCAAAAAACATGACATGAATATTTCCTAATGTGGAACTGTGCTTACACTCTTCGATGAAAAAACAAAACAAAAAAACAACAACAACGATAAATTAAAAGTTTTACACGAGTGAAAAATTGAAGAGAAAAAGAAAAGAACTCACCACTATTTCATCAGTTTCATCAAATCCAACTGAAGTAATAGTTCTTTCCTCTGAAGCTGGACGTCTAACCAAGCGTTGATTGGCTGCAGAACTAGTTCTTCGAGGTAATTCAATCTGTTCCCCATGATATTTAACCAAATGACGTAGAAGGCCTATCTCAGCCTGATATCTACGACCACATCTTGGATGAGGGCACTGAGTAGGGTAAAAAAAGACAAAGGAAGGTAGTGTTAGTATAAAAATGATAAAAGCAAAGGTAGAGATGAATATCTTATTAATCACAGTTGTAAAAGCTGTTATTAAGAGCCTTAGATTTCTACAACCTGATCCGAACTGACTGACACAAGAATACTGACTCCGGGGAGTTATTATTATGATGAGGAGCGAAAGCTAATCAAATGCAAACCAACAAGAAGTCTTCGTAACGATCGTGAACAGTGGTGGGCGACAAAAGCGAAGGAGGTGGAAAAGGCATCGGCGATTGGTAATACCAGACAACTATTTAGGCTTATCAGGGAAACAGGTGGTAAAAGGCATAAGATAAGTGAAACAATCTCCGAGAAAAATGGCACCATAATTAGCTCCCAGGATAGACGACTAGGACGTTGGAAGAAGAACACTTTGAGGAGCAGTTTAATTGGCCTACAGTCATACTCAACTTACCGAACATCCAACACCTCCATGAATGGGATATAGACACAGGTCCTCCGTCCCTAACTGAGGTTACTAAAGCTGTCACTAATCTGAAAAAGGCAAAAGCAGCGGGACCTGATGGAATAACTCCAGGGGTAATTAAGTACAGTGGGGACAGTTTATTGCCTGCATTAACTGAGGTACTAAGAAGCATCTGGGAATCAGAGGAAGTCCCATCGGGTTGGTGTGAGTCACTGATTATCCCCATATACAAGAAGGGAGACAAGTCTTCCTGTAATAATCACAGAGGGATTAGCTTGACTAATATAGTATCTAACGTCGTAGGCTCAATAATATTGTGTAGACTAAGTGTTGCTCGGGAGGCACAAACACGAGAGAGCCAGGCAGGCTTTAGACCAGGAAGAGGGTGTATTGTTCATATCTTTACCCTTCGGCAGATACTGGAGCATAGGCATTCTTATCGGCGTCCAACAATCGTTATATTTCTTGACCTAAATGTGGCATACGACTCTGTAGATGCTTGACTGTAAAAGTAATGCCGAGGAAATACATTGCACTGATCAAGGCACTCTATTCGAACTCATGCAGCCAGCCAGGTGAGAGCCTACGACGAGTTGTCATCTGAAGTCGTAACAACTAGTGGTGTCCGACGGGGATTCCAACTCACTATCCCCAATGCCATTCAACTTCATCATAGATTTACTAATGGACTTAACCCTAACTGACTTCAGTGACTCAGGGACTGACTTGTTACCAGGGAATAATCTCGTTGGCTTAAAATATGCAGATGATATAGTCTTTCTCGATGAAGACGCCGATGAAATGCAGTCTTCTGAACACCTTGGCATGCGATTCGCTCCCGCCAAATGCAAGATGATGTTACAGGACTGGAATACACTGACTCCTAGTTTAGAAATAAGAAGTGAAGTGGTAGAGAGTGTTGACCACTTCACTTATTTAAGAAGTTGCATCAGCCAGTACCAGCGGGTTGATCTCTGACAAAATCTGTGTACAGATACAGAGGGCTAGTTTCGCATATGCCAGTTTACGCCATCTCTGGCTTAGTAGACGTGATATCCAGCTATCGATAAAAGGACGTGTGTATTGCTCAGAAGTCCGCTCTATCGTCCTTTATGGCTGTGAGTGACAAATGGCCATTGAAAATGGAAGACATGAAAAGGTTGACCTACTGTCTTTGATCAAAAGTCCCTGCGTTCTATCTCCCATGTGAATTGGTGTAATAGGGTAAGCAATACTGAGGTTAGGCGTCGACGAGGCTGTTAAGCTATATGGACTGAGATGGTTAGGACATGTGTTACGTACGTACGTTTCTGTTTACTTTCTTCTCTGGCTTTGTATGCTGAGTGAAGTGTGGCGGCTCGAACTGCTGCACATCGGTGCAAAGTCCTATGTTGAAACCAGTTAGTCAGTCAGTCAGTCAGTCAGTCAGTCACTACTCATCAACTCACCAACAAAATAGAGGCTCTTACGTCACGTTAAACTAAACTGTCATACTACCTGAACCTTTATAGATGCAGCTCAGTTATATTCCCAGGCTGTTAACAATGAAATACATTTCATTTATAAGTGTCATTTGGAAACTCTAAGCAATAGTTAAAGATGTCGACAGTGAAATTATGAATATACACTTGTGGTGTACCACCTCATGTATACAGCTTTTAGTGTTATTGGTACTTCACTTCTGAATTAAGTCACTAAATTTCAACAGAGAACTTTGCACAGAAGTATATAGCACTTCAAAGCTGTCACACTATGTAGTACACATAGGGGGTAAACAGAAGAAAAAAAGAGACTCAACACTGCTACAATAAACAGAAATGTGAGGAAGAAAGGATTAGTAATATGGAAAGAAATATGACAGTTTAGTGGAATGCGTCTGTGCTCCAGCCAGTGGTTCTTACCATCTCAAGGACAGCAACAAAGCAGTCTACGACTCTCCTTATCTGGCTGGCTCAAACCAAATTGTCGGTGTTTTCATGGGCTGATTGTAGGCTTTGGTTTAACCACTACTAATTCTAACTCTTCCTCAACCTAATTCAATGCCAGCTAATATTGCTTGTCGAGAAAGGCGGCTGCTCGGAATGCGCAACACCGTATCCTGGTCATCTCTATCGATTCACCTTGACAACCTCATCGATTAACTAACTCTTCTTACCTAACATTCTACGTCTCATCTCAATAGTTTCCACCATGTTCTACCACTCATACCAAAGGAGACAGAGAGCAAACATCTCTGGTTATGTGATTCAACTGAATAGCTCTCATTGTTTGATTTCAATTTTAAAAACAAGCACTTTTAGAGCAGGTCGCCAATTTATCAACCAGATTAACTGTGGATGTAACCAGTTCTTCATTTAAAAAATGTATATACTGATAATATCATTAATAACCATTATTTTAACTGTTGGATATGAATATGAATAGTAGGAGGGACAGAGCGAGCTTGTAAACCATTCAGCCATTGCGACCCGATACACTCGTCCATATATTTTAACTTCTACTATTTTGCGATATTTATCACATCAGAATTGCCCAGACATCTGGAAGTCATTGTACAAATTGAGTCGATTTCATTTCGTCACAGACAGAAAAAAGCAACAGATTTGTACGTCGTCGGATGCCGATTCAACACACTTAAAATAGAAATCACCTTGGTTTGACTAGCCAAGGTTTATAAATTGAGATATCCTAAAACTAGTGACGCAGATCAGATGATTACCATATATGAATATAACATAAGAACGTAGTAGATAATTAAATCGTATGCGTCAGTGGCATAGCGGTTGGGACGCTCGTCGACCATGTACATGGTCCGGGGTTCGATCTCCGGCCGATGCACTCCTTCACCTCGCTCAGCTAGAAATAATGCTGGTAAAGAGGAAAGGTTGGGCATGAGACTAGCTAATCCATCCTGTAAAAATAAACACTGCTACAGAAACTTTAAGCCACTAGCTTGAAGCCCTATGTTCCACTGGAGAACGTGAAGGAGAGAAAGAAAAATAGAAGATAATTAAATCAATGCAATCAGCATAACGCTTCGGTGGTTCAGTGATAGAATGCTCGCCAACTACACCACACGTGGTCGGAGTTCGATCTCCAGCCGCCGCACTTATAAACCTCACCTGGCAGGTAGTAAGACGGGAAGTAAAGAGGGGAGGTTGGAAGTAAGGCTAAAAACAGGGAGTGTGGCGACTTGAACTGCTGTACATCGGTGCAAAGTTCTTTATCGAAAACAGACAGACAGAAGGCTAACAACCACACTCCAAAGTTCAAAACTTGAAGCCTTATGTTCTTCTTGGAGGGCAAAGGAATAAAATATTTGAAAATCAGAGTAAAATTCAAACTAAAATTAATTCCCAACAGCGCGTCGGTGACACAGCGGTTAGGACTCTCGCCGACCATGCATGTGGGGTCCGGGGTTCAATTCCCTACCGACACACATCTGATATCAATGTCGGCCTGCAAAATTTGAACTACCGATAGCACATGTTGAAAATTCCATACTTCTACCAAAAAAACTGTGTGGAATCAAGCTATAATCAAAGAAGAAAATTACTTACAATATGCTTGAAACGATCATCTGAATTGTACTTGTTGAATAAGGCGAGAGTTTTGGTGGGATAACTTTTAAATGAACTGTAAGTTGATCATTATTTGGCGTTTGGTAGGAAACCTATTATTAAATAGAAATCAGTGTTAAAAATGTTATATAATGATACAATTAGCATGTGATAATAGCAATATAATGGGCACATAATTAAACAAACTGCAATTTCAAGTTGTGACATTAAAAGACGCTCAAATTTCAGTAGACGAAAATGGGGTTCAAATGCATAGTCAAATTATCGGGAATCAAAGTGATCGAACCGATGAGCCAGAGCTTATTACAAGGGAAACTAGGAGAAATTCAACTGTCAACCAGTAGGCTACAGCCTAGAATACTGTTCATCCTACTAGTCTGGTCAGACTACACCGACGTCTAGATTAGAAATAAGAAGTGAAGTGGTAGAGCACGTTGACCGCTTCACTTATTCCGGAAGTACCATCAGCCAACGCTAAAGCGTTGATCTCTGACGAAATCTCAGCACGGATACAGGGGGCTCGTTTCGCATTTGCCAGTTTACGCCGACTCTGGCGTAGACGAGATATCCGAATATCGACCAAAGGGCGGGTGTGCTGCTCATCAGTCCGCTCCGTCCTCCTTTATGGCTGTCAGACCTGGCCACTGAGAGTGGAAGACATGAAAAAGCCGGCTAGCTGTCTTTGATCATAGGTGCCTGCGTTCTATTTCCCGTGTAAAGTGGCATAATAAGGTGAGCAATATTAAGATTAGGAGTCGAGTTCTAGATAAACAGGGGAAATCAATTGACAAAGTTGTGAAGTTACAAAGACTGAGATGGTTAGGGCATTTGTTACGCATGCCTAGTCATCGCCTTCCTCGACGAGCAATGTTAGCGGATATAGGGTCAGGCTAGAAAAAAGCTAGCGGAGGTCAAAAAAACATGGCATCAGTCAATGAAATCTACAACAGTTAGTCTAAGCCACGTAGGAGGATGTAGACTTCCTGGTTGGGGTCCCGGAACAGTAAAAACCAATGGTTGGAAACAAGTGGTGACATGGCTCAAAACCGTTCTCAGTGGCGCAGATGCATCCACTCCTTGTGACTTATGATTTCCAATGAAACTGTTTTGTTCTTCGTTATTACTATTCTTTTGTCTCACACCTCTGCTCACTGTTTCTATTATGCTTTTCTTGTACCTTCTCCTCTTGCTTTGTGTGCTACATGGAGTGTGGCGACTTGAACTTCCGCACATATGTGCAAAGTTCTGTGTCGGAAACAGACAGACAGACAGAGTCTGGTCCGAATAAGCAGCCTGTATTACTAGCCTTTAAACAATAAGTGTAACACATGAACATGTAAGCTGCATCATCAAACGAATGTGCCACATTTTGGAGACAGCAGACAAAAACAGAGAGAACAAATGTAATTATCGGTCAGTCAGTCAGTCAGTCATGGGAAATAAGAAAGTGAAGATTTGCAGAAGCTGGATGACAAGGAATAAATACACTATGACAGAGATGTAGCTTATAGGCTTAGACAGTTATCTTCCAATCAATAGTTTCAGTTTATAGATTCTGTCCTGCCTAAATCAGCCTGGGCAACTGAATAGTACCATCAGCTTTTTACACAATAAATCTCACTCATAACTCGATACATGAAAATAAACCTATTCCTAGTAACTTAATTATAACATGATATATTGTAGTCTGTTACAACATGTAAAGTCGGTTGTTCTTAACTGAGTTCTCACTGAATACATATAAACCATTGTGACAAAGCTATAGCACTACATGTTATTACACACAACCATACAGCATAGGCTGGGACAAGATGACAGTAGTTTTAAAATCTAATGTAACAGGGTGGAGGGAGAGATTGGTAACGGAAGCTTTGTTTATTGAAACTGCATATACAAGTAATGGGAATAATTCAACCCCTGTCCACCCAGATATTTGGAAGATTCTACTACCGCAACGGTGACAAATAGGAGAGGACAAAGAAAAATATAAAAACTCAAGTTTCAAAGTCGTGTGATTATAACTGATGATATGATTATGAACAATAAAGTGTGTTCGAAACTTTGTCGTTCAGTAAATAATACTGTTTCACTGATTGTGTGATATATCTAATAAACAAACTAATATGAAATCACTTACTAGCAGTGCCCAAGTTTTACACACATTAAAATAGGTAACTGAATACAAGTTTATGCATTAAACTGATTAAAATGCCTAAAAAGTAAAGGCTAAAGACAAATTTATGTGCCACGCGTTTGCCTATGACGCAACTTCAGTTTCTGAGGCTATTATAATACTACTTTGCTGTTTAGTTTGAAATGATGAATTGAGTAGACTGCCACAAGCTTTATGGCAAAATTCGTTGTAGTGTTACGCATTAATGTGATTCATTCTAACCAACAGGTCTGATCTTCTAACCATCTTTCATCTAATTTGAATAACACCACAAACATTCGCCAGAAAATAGGCGTGCCTTACGTACCACAATACAAGAAAACGTGTACCGGATATTTGAACAAAGAAAGAAGAAACATTGGCGCAGAATAATCTGGATCCATTTTATTTCGTTGGTTTTCATCATCTGCGTACAACCTGAATTTTTTAATAAAAAATAATGTACAATTTTAACAGACCTTTGTCCATTAGCAAGCATAATGTCAGAGCGTCATAGTAAAATAAGGCGTTGAGATTTACAGGGTGTCTAAAGTGTTACGATATATATTGGTAGGAAAAAAATTATTTGACAGTTGTGTTGTTGGGGTGGTAACAAAAGACAATTAGCAATAGTTACGTAATGAGATAAGAGAAGATCGAAACTTTAAAATTTCGATGCACATGAGGTCAGATGAGAGGTTGATGATGTGATACAGTGAGCAGAACTCAAAAGATCAAGAAAAATTATCTCTTAAGAGAGTCAAGCGAAAAATAAAAGGGGTGAGGTGGAGTGAGAAGATGAGCCAACAAAATTAGAAAACAAAGAGTTATTAAGAAGTAAGTCACCAGGGTAACTGAAGTCCAACAACGGATTCTTTTTGGACACATAAGTCAGGCTTCAATCGTTTCATTGCTATAGCTTCAGCAAACCTCAGACTTGAGGTATTTTGTCCGTTAATTATTTTGAATGATTCTAGCACATCTACTCGGTGTCCTGTGACAATCAGGTGTTTGGCGATTGAAGAGCTTAAACAATTCGGTCCCTAAATCTCAACGCCTTATTTTACTATGACGCTTTGGCAATATGCTTGCTAATGGACAAAGGTTTGTTAAAATTGTACACTTATTTTTATTAAAAAATTCTGGTTGTACGCAGGTGCTGATGAGAACCAACGAAATAAGGCGGATCCAGATTATTCTGCGCCAATGTTTCTTCTTTCTCTGTTCAAGTGCACCGGATAGATGGTCTGAATTACCAAAATGATAACCAAAAATTTGGTGGATGGAAAAAAGTCACTTCTAAAACTACTTTCATCTCATACTGAATCCTAACAAATTTGAAACAGGTTTGTATTCTACCAATATTGGTGTCAAGAGGAACATGGATTAATTTTTTCAGGTTCGTACGTATCCCAATGATTTTAATGATTTTTGGCACAGAAGCGTATCAGTCTGACTTATCATGCTCCATTTAGCACACAAAGGTAGACGAAAAAGGAAAAAGGTGATTCGGAAGAATGATAATACTCAGAAATGAGTAGGAGAAAGAACTGCAACATGGAAAAACATTAGGAGTTATAATGGATACGGCAGATTACAAAGAATGGATGCATCTGTGCTGGTGAGAAAGATTTTGAACCATATCACTAATAGTCTTCAGCCATCAGTTCTTACCATCTCCAAGACTTTAATCCGTCCGCCCACAGCAATTCTACGTGGTTCAAATTAACCGTCGAAGACTTCATGGACTGATGTCAAATTTTTTGCTTGGCCATCAACATAGGCTATAGACCGTTATTTAAGGTCGCATCGCTGTTTTTCAATGGTTTTCCCAGCCGTTCTCCGTTTGTGAAGTTCTACTTCAAAGAGAAGGTAATTTGCTTCTGACGCCTGAAACAAGCTTTGTTTTTTACACTAAAATTTTGTTTTCCGACTAGAACAAAAAATAAAATACATGCTTCTAGTTGATACATACTATGTCCAGGGTCGTGTAAATGAACTACACAAAATGAAAGCCATATTTGGGACTAAATTTAGATCACTTCCTTCCAGTTAATTGTTGTTTGGAGTGTGGAAATAAGGATACATTTAGCTTGCTAGCAAATAAAACAGCTCTAATTTTGCAAGTGAATTCATAATCTAGAGAAAAAGTGCTAATAAGTGATAAAACCTTGAAGCCGCTTTTTGTTTGGACAAGTATTGAGGCGGCTATACACAGTTACTAAAATACTAAGGCTTTGCCTAGCGAATAATTCAGTGTTAATACATATTAGTAGAAGTTTCATCACAAAGTCACTTCAGAAAAACATTTCGAAACACAAGTTAAATAGACACGTATTCAAATGAAATGGAGTGAAAATAAACTGTGAATAGTTCGACTTACATGATGATTCTTCGGTGTGTCTTGGTTTTTGCTCTCAAGAACGGAGGATGGTACAGTCGTAGTGGATTTTGACAAAACCTTGGCTTGATTCGCTTTGCGTACAGAAAGGTAGGCCTGTCGGTATTTAGTCGCTTCTTGAACACTTGAAGCACTTGCATTTTGGTATCTACTATGAGTAGCTAGATCCAAACTACCAATAGGAGAACGATCACGAGAAGAACTAGAAATTTGCATTTTAAAGGGTGGTTTGCACAGGTTGGTACCAGAACATGCTTTGGGATGCAATGACACAGATTTTTGTTTATGGAAACTATGATCTGTCGTTTTTTCAGATTCAGGCCCAAGTGCCAAAGCACCTAATTCAGCTACACTTCGGCAAGATGGAAATAATGGTAGGATATCCATCATAGACTGCAAAGATACAGTTTTCGTGTTATTTTTACGGTTAGCTTGATTCGTACGTAGGTCAGTATCCGTGTGACGCTTTCTCTCAGGACACATAAAACTCGTACTTCGCAAAAAAGAATTTCCAAGAGTATATTTGCTACTAGACAAATTTTCAGCTGCATTACGACATGTACTTGACGTAGATATTCTACCCGCGCCATTACTTTTAATGCAAATCTGTGAAATACCATTTAGGTTTCGTTCTGTGATGTTTGCATTTTTCACACTGTTTGTTTCCACAGGATTTGGTGAGCACTCCACTCCATCAAATAAGTTCTTCTCTAATGACTGCTTATTGTTGTGCTGGGCAACATTATGACACAAACCATCACGTGTATCACAGTAATTGGGATGGGCATTGATTATGCCAGAAGTACCACTTGCTGTCTTGACTGGGGAGGAATTTGGAGTTGTTAAACTGCTAAGTATTTCATCAACTTCGCGAACACTGATGGTTGGCAACTCTATATTAGGGTCTAACAAACTATTAAACAAGATACAGGATTGGCAACCCTTCCATATTCACCATCAGTAGACTTTGCAGCAAAGTTTTCAGAATTTCTGTCTGGAGAATGAACATGCAGAGGACCACCGGCTACACTTGAGAAAAGGATACCACCTGGAGAACTACGAAGCAATGATAAATTGCTTTGGGATTTTCTATTGACACAGAGCCGTTTGTTATTCATTGGTCTTAGACAAGACTCAGGAGTACAAAATAGTATAAGCACACTGTTCGCAGTAATTCAACACAATGTAAAAATTCCTCACGCATAACAAGTGGTCGGATTTATTACTTGTTTGAAGAATGAAAGTAAATTCCGACAACCGAATATTTATCAAATCATTGCTTACAAATCAGATGACTAACGGCAAGTTTTAAAATGTTTACTTATTACAACAGTCAGTAAAGAAGACGTACGAAGTAGGCTCACGATATATCTCAACACTACGATGATTCTTTCATTTGGTGGAGCTGACCTTCAGGGGTAGCAGTTGCGCAGTTCACCTTGATTCAATGTACAACCAAAAGTTCTGAGATGTTGTTATACAAATCAATGTTTTTCGCCACAAACAACCCTTAAAGACAATTTATTTCGAGTTTTATCATTAGAAACTCCATGATTTTTCTGATGTTTTCGATTCGTTGTCCAAGGTGACAGATACAATCTGCTGAATTGGGTATGATGACTGATATGAAATCAGATGGAGATGATACTTTTCAATCAGTAACTATAATAATAACTATCAGTTTTTGCAATCTAATTAAAATATTACCACTCAGCTGGTATTTGATATATACACCTACGATATCTAGAGCTATCTGCGTCTCTTACAAATATCCTGAATGTCCTACTTCAACGTCATGCTGCAGAGTCATCTGAAAACAGCTGATATATCTTAGATGTCTTTTATGGTGAGCATAAAATTTAGAGCGCAGTCCGAAACAGCTCGTATATATTCCATCAGATACCTTTCCGGGGATCTTGAAAACATTCAACAGATTGAGAAAGTTAGCAGGCAGTTTTACTTCGAGTCATCTTTGATCCTGTCAGACACACTAGTTTGTGCCAAGTTATTCTCTCCCCGTTGAACCGACGGGTTTCTCAAAATAAATGATTAGGTTAAAAATACATCTATTACCTTTGGAAGACACCAGAGACTATCATTCCTATTCATATTTGAATATCATATGTAACTGATGAATCAGCGGTGAACAGAATAATAATTAGTTAACTAAGAAGTAAGCAAGAAAAATTTCACAGAACCGTAAATAAACCTCTATCAGCATTTATGTCGAGGAAACAGGAACGAAAATCCGACAAAAAGATTCTCTCGGCTAAACTATTCTGTTGACTGCACAGCTGCAATTATATATAACTACTATTGTGTGTATATTCAGTTTGTCAAGAATATGGTATCAAAACCTTCTTCTTCTACATACTTTTTCATATTCAGCAACCTCTAGTCTGAGCACAGCCTTAATTGCCTACCCATTATTCCTCACCTTTCAGAAAATCTTGACAATTAAGACATTCTCATCTCTGAACAGGTAGGTTTACACGGGGAATAATTACGGGTGACTGAGACGCTACAGTTCGAATCATTGGAGAGTCTACGCAATAACAATAATCTACTTTATTCCCAAACAGACAGTAACTGTAATACAGAATGGAATTCTCAGCATTTGTCGCAATATTGCATTCGATTTACTCAAAATATCAACAAAATTAGAAATTAAAACAAAATTATCCGGAGGAATTTGTCCATTTTTACGATATAAAGTCAAAAATATTCGAAGTGTGAATTGAGAATATCAAATGTAATAATAATAACAGTGGGTTTGTTTCAAACAGTATTGTCGATTCAGTTTGGAAATTTTAGCATCTTAAAGATCATTGAATCTAATGTTCCGCTGATACAGTACGGTGAAGGGAAATACAAAATTAATAGTTACAACACAACCTAAATTTTCTTCACACTTATGAAGAAATAAACAAACAAAAACACAAATTCGAGAGGGTTATAAATATCAGAAGTACAATAACAATAATGCTTGATGTTGTAAAGGTGGAGGAAATGGTTAATTTAGTAGTGCAAAGAAGGTTAGTTAGTTATTTAGTTCATGCCTAAAACTATTTTCATCACACAAAGTACGTGCTGCCAGATATGGTATAGTAGAATTTTTATACCTAGACGTACGTGCATAAAGTCTTCTGAAAAGACTTCTTGTTTTACCTGAGGAGACACAAGGTCGGAGCTGCGGGTGGTGAGGTGGATGCTCACAGTATGACAAAATTCCTTTAGCAAATTTGTTGCATGAAATCAAGTGCCTATCAATGACGAGACCAACGATATGGCCCAAAGGGATACAACTCACTCTACTGACAGTCTTCAGAGCTCTACGAAGTATGACATAATCTCTTTTGGATAATCCAGGAAAGAACAAGAGTGAACAGTGAAGAAGAATAGGTAAGATCCAAGAGTTGACAAATTGTAAGAGGAGGGGTTGGGTTATGCCTGAGTGCCCTAACTTCTTCATGTAAAAAAGTCAGACGAAATATTGTTTTACAAATCGCTAAGAGATGGGAAAACCAGGATAGGTCAGAAGAAAGAATTAACCCAGGATACTTAACTTCAGACTTGATTTGTACATCATTATCATCAATTTTGCAACGGTCACTGGAACCGACAGCTTCATTTAACTTTCTTTTACATCGGAAAATGAAATTAACGGTCTGATAATTAGAAGGATTTAGTTTAAGACCGTTAGACGAAAACCATTTGCTAACTCCTGATAGAAAGCTGTTCATCTTAGTACAGTCAGGCTGGGAGTTTACAGGCGTTGAAATAGTTGGATCATCGGCGTACCTAACAAAGTTCACTTCATCATCAGAGTGAGGCAAGTAACGCAAGAAGAAAGAAAACAGAAAAGGAGAAAGGACAGCACCATGAGGGACACAAGCCTCAGTAAGCAACTAAGTGTACGACTTTCGCTGACCTACAGTGTACTGCTTTTTTCTTGAGAAATAAGAATGCAGACATTTGACAACCCAACTGTTAGTTTGAGTTTCAGCAAGCCTGTTTAACGAAATGTCCCTAGGTTATGAGTCGAAAGCACATAAGGAATCTAGGAAGGTGTAGCGGACAAATTTAGCCTCCTTGTCCAAAATGGAGACAATGTTATGATTGAAGACTGCAGCTGCATCTAAAGTACTGTGTTTATAGGTGAATTGTTCGGGATCGTTAAAGGCTTTAAGTGAAGGTTGAAGATTAAGTAAGAGTAACTTTTTCATAGCTTTTAGAAAAGGGAGGTAATAGCAATAGGTCTCAATTTAAAACATGTTCCAGTAGACGATTTAGGTGTAGTGCAATTTTAATGTCCTTCCAAATGGCTGGTACGACATTTCTGGAATAAGATTCATTAAATATGTCCATGAGAGGTGAACACGATATCTGCACACTTTTTAAGGGTGACACTATGCAAACCATCTGGACCCAGGCTACAAGATTGGCTCAGATGCTGGAGACATTTTAGAACATCATTTGTATTGAAACCAGGGAAGCAGGTTTCATTAACACTACTAACACTAGGATGTTTGGCATTTGTGGGAGAATGTGTGAAGGACTTGTTTATTGTTCAAACATCTGCTTACCACCAGTAATTTCTTTCAAAAGTTTCTATATTTAAGATGCATTTTTACAGAGTATAAACTTTTCGTTGTAGATCGAATTCAATCTGTGCATTTCAAACTTGTTTAGGATGTTAATTCTTTTCAAACCTATGTTATCCTTCATTTTATAGAACTTTTCTTTATGCCTGCAAGGCTTTTGGAGTTCAGCGGAGGAGAAACGGTCAAATCTGATGAAGGGCGTTTCTTTGGGACAACAGGTGAAAAGACAATATTCGAGATAACATGTAATATTAGAGATTGTGTCATCGAGAGACTCTTCACTAAACAGGTCCCACCTCGTGTCTTTGAGCATGCTCCTAAGATTGTAAACATTCTCCATGTTCAAATTTATTGGAAATGTTGAAAAGGTTCTCTTGAGTAACTTTCCATAAATTTTGGGGTAAAACCCGTACGGTATAATGATCTGAGTTAACAGTGGGACTCTTTTATGAGCTTCGTATATTCTGCAGTCATTTATAATCCAAGATTGAGAGAAGTATCTAATCGGGTGGGAAAGCTAACGACATTTTCATGACCTAGCACTGTAAGAAAGCTGCAGTTGAAAGAATTAAAATCACCTGCCACTATGGACATTGAGTTTCCAAAAGAGGCGGCAGCGAAAATAGTGAATTCACCACCAAGCATAGATAGTTCTGAAGTGCTACAACAAGGTGTGACATGAATGTTCGTGATGTGAATGAAGTTGTACTTAGACGCGTGTTTAGGTCGATATTTAACAGTTATACAGTCAATGTTAACACTTGAGAATTCTGAAGCAGACGTTGTTGCCAACAGACCACTGAGAACTGTTAAAAGTAGCCACACCACCACCTCGGTTCTTCCATGAACTACTTCGGTCTTGTCTGGACGTATTGAAACCATTCAGGAGATTAAATTGTCATCATATGAATCGTGGAGCCAATTTTCTTGAAGCGCTATTATACATGTATTGCGTAAATATTTGAACATATTAAGCATCCAAGCAATTAATCTTGTCCGATGAAGACGTGCAATTTGTGCTCATAATCACAGGAACGGTCATCTGATGCATTGGAGTACACTTTAAGGGTCATTGCTACCCACCATAATTCTTTTCCTTTGAGTTATTATAAACACGTAAATCATCGGGTTGAAAATATTTTAAATAATTACGAGAGTAATACAATCTGGACACAGTTGAAAAATTAAAACAAAATAAATCCAAGAAATCAGATGCAATATAAGTGACGGAAAATTTTCGTATCTCAAAGTTTCAGCAGGCTGCCTAACTATTTGCTGCTATTTCCAAATCCAGATGGTTATTTTCGCATATATCTGCCGGTTGTACGTCCATACACTACGAAAACTTACTCTGCCTAATGGGGCTTTGAAGAAACAATGGGGCTAAAATCCACCTGATTTTCCGCTTAAAAGCAAGTGAATTTCATTTCACAGTGCTCACTTCATTTCTTGATGCATTGTGGTGCTCACTTTACGACACTAAGTATCCACAAAAGGGTTTCTTTAAGCTCTGG